CAGGGTTTTTGCACTGATGTGGATTAAAGCCCAAGACGACGTTAGTATTATAATAGTGGTAGTTGTTGTAACTTTATTTAATATTATGGGAATTGGCTTATGATTATGTGTATTTAATATGTCGTGTGTGTAACTTAATGTGTAGTGTGTGTGTGTAGTTCGCGAAACTCTGGCACCGACTGACTCTGACTCTCGCTTGCTTAACCCTAGAAACCTCCTGCTCTAATTGATCTCTCTCCTTTGCTCAAAAAGGGCGTTGCTCAATACTGGCGGCCACTTCGAGTCGCTCTCTGCACTGCCGGCCCTATCCCGATTCCTACATAATTACATTTGATAGCGACAGGTGCAAGTAGGGCCAATGGCCAGGTTGAACGAGTCATCAGCACAGTGAAAAGTATGTTGAGAGCTGTAGAGACAGGTGAACGTTCCTGGCAGGATGCACTATGTGAAGTTCAGTTAGCCATGAATTGTACGACAAACAGGGTAACGAATTTTAGCCCGTTAGAACTATTGATTGGAAGAGAGGCTAGGCCAATGGGCTTGTTGCCTATAAATGATGAAGCTAAAATGGATTGTAAGCACGCAAGAGCTCAGGATAATGTAAATATAGAAAATAGGGCGAAATATGAAAAAGAGTGAGTTCATAGGAATAAGGCCAAGATTGTAAAACAAAAGGTTGGGGATCATGTCTTGCTTAGAAGTGAAGATCGCCATCAGACAAAAATGGATTCTAAATTCAAAGGACCTCTTGTGGTTGCGGAGTTGCTGGAAGGTGACCGAACGTGTAAGTATTTGCAGGAGAGTTTGCGAAGACTGCCGAATGAGCAGATTTCTGACGAGAATATTGAGATAAACGACAGTGGTGAAAAAGACTCTGGCGGTAAGACCCGTTCTCGTACCTAAGAGAGGTGCAGAAAGCATCAAACGCAGGGTCTAGATTTAGTCAACAATATTCATGCCAGGTATGGGTGATATTGTGTGATGGACATTGGATCTGAGGAGATCGTGGCAGTGGCGGTGCAAGGCGTCGCAGGGGTTCTGTCGTTTCTCATTTATGTTACGGCAGGTCAACTCAGGTCGCTACATCAGCCCTCAACACAAAACGGTCCAAGCGGCCAAGAACCCACACAAGCATAGTATGTGAGAATACATAGCACACACACATTTACGAAACCTGAAAACTCCAAATTATTTTGATTCATTATCATATCATATCATATCCTTTTGTGTTAAATAATCATATAATCTCCAAGGTATATTATAATAATAAATATTATAATAATAAATTAAATAATAAAAAAAAGAACAAAAAATAACAAAATAAATACATAGTCCATAAAAAAATTAAATCAATTAAAAATATCATAACATATAACATATTATGTTATGTATCATAATTATATAATTTTCACGCTATAAATCTATGTATATACATATCAAAATATTTTGTCACACTGTTTGGAAGGAGTTCAACCACAAATCATATCATATCCTTTTTTGTATTAAAATCATATCATCTTCATCAATAATAATCTAATAACGAATTAATAAGTAATAAATAATAAAAAAAAATAATTAATAAAATAATTAAATAGATAAATATATCCATATATCCATAAAAAAAACGAAAAGAATCGTGTGAGTCGCGTCCCCAGAAGCGACTCACACGACTACTTATACCCGTACTCAGTCAGTATATACATTTTTGAGCTTATGATTTTTTAGAATTTTAGATATAAAAAAAAAAATTTACATTTTACATTTTTTTGCTACATCTGTTATCTACATCTACATCTACAATGTATATTTTACATCTAACATGTAGATTATAGATGTAGCATTCATATTCTACAACTCCACCGCTAGGGGTTGTTCGCGCACTGAACGCAGCAGAGTGTGCGAGCGAGAAGGAAAATGAGTAGCGTGTCTGGCAGGGGGGGGGCGGAGGAAACAACTGAAAATGAATTTCGTCATTCTGGCTATAATCTGTCTGCCACAGATTTTCGTCCTTTTTGGGGGCGGAATGGGGCGGGGCGAAATTTTGTAATACACTTGTAGCAGTGTGATATCACATGAGTCTGGAAACCAAATTTGGTTACCCTAGCTCTTATAGTCTCTGAGATCCAGGCGCTCATCGAGACGGACAGACGGACGGACGGACGGACGGACGGACGGACGGACAGACGAACAGACGGACACGGCTATATCGACTCGGCTATTGATGCTGATCAAGAATATATATACTTTATGGGGTCGGAAACGTTACCTTCTCTGCATTACACACAACCACTTTTACCACAATCTAATATACCCCTTAACTCTTTTTTAAGTACGGGTATAAAAAATTAAAACATAAAAAAAATAAAGTACTACAAAAATTTGTAAATCCCGAAATCTATCAGAAAAAGTCTTTTGGTCCACAGCAGAAAGAAAAAGTTCAATTTTGTTTAGTGTAATCAAAACAGGATCATGAGTTAGTACTGAGATAATTTTCTGGCGTATTTCCTCATGCTCAACTTTCCAAACGAAACTATTAGTTTTGGAGGTTAACTGATATAAAGGTTTCATCTGTTCAAAAAACTGTGGAACAAACTTACGGAAGTAAGATGCTAAGCCTATAAATTGTCTCAATTGTGTAACAGTCTTTGGTTCAGATAGTCCAGCCAGAGCTTGTATTTTCTGCGGATTTGGTTCAATACTAACGTCTTTGACCAAGTATTTAAGATATTCTATGTCTTTGGTTCAGATAGTCCAGCCAGAGTTTGTATTTTCTGCGGATTTGGTTCAATACTAACGTCTTTGACCAAGTATTTAAGATATTCTATTTCAGTTTTAAGAAATGAGCATTTTTTTATATTAAATGAAAATCCTGCTTCCGATAGAGCCATAAACAAAATCGCCAATATTTCAAATGCTTCCTTTTTTTGACCTCGCGACTATCACTACATCATCAAAATAAACAATTGCATAGGAGTACGCCAAGTCACCCAGTGCTCGCGCTATAGCTCGCTGAAAAATCGAAGAGGCACTTTTTAGCCCAAATGGCATAGATAGAAACTCGTACTGGCCCTCGAGAGTTACAAAAGCGGTTCGCTCTATGGATCCTGCATCTATTGGAATCTGTTAAAACCCACTTACCATGTCTAAGCCAGATAAGTATTTACCCCCACGCAATCTGTTAACTTAATCTGATATCAGCGGCAAAGGGTATCTGTCAGCCACTGTATTTGAATTGAGCTCTCGATAACACTACTCGACGCGAGCTTTCCTCAAGGAACAAAACAAACTTTTTCTTAAAGATTTGGGGCTTGGAAATGGTTTGATGATATTTTTTTTTCTATGGCAGAGATTTTTTTTTTAAGAATATTTAAAAACTGGTAACTTTTTTAAGCTTTTTTCAGAGTTAGCGCTTTTTTCACATAACTCTTGTATCTTACGTCTGGTTGTAAAGAACTTTGCTATTTTGGAAAGATAATTAAAACAGCTAGAAGTTAAGCCCAAACACTTTGTGATTTCAGCCTACAGTCTGGAAAACATAAATAAAAATAAAAAATTAAGATTTTTGTGCGGTATTTTCTACGAAATTTTGACTTTAAAAACTCAAGAAAAGTCGAAAAAAATTATATCCAAAGCAAACGCAAAAGGTTTGCACCTCTGAAAAAAGCTTAAAAAAATACCAGACTTCAAAAATTCTTAAAAAAAAGTTCTGCCATATAAAAAAAACATAATTCTTTAAAAAAATTTAAAGTCCCATATCTATCAGAAAAAGTCAGTTTGGATCCTTGAGGAAAAAAAAAGTTCGATTTTATCGAGTAGTGATATCAATACAAAATATTTTTTTTTCTATAAAGGTAATTTCTTATTGTTTTGTAGCCAAATACGGAAATAATTTCAGTAATTTAGATTTTGTCGAGTTGTGCAATTGACCATTGAACATCGACAGCCCATCACCATCACATATTCGGTGCAGTAGAACGCAGTCACCGAACATCAACGAGTTCGCTCATACATATCGAGTGAAAAGAATAATTGGGACGAATGGCTAAAGTACTTAACATACTGATACAATACAACACCATCCACAGTACATGGGTATTGCCCAGTTGAACTGGTGTTTGGTAAAAAACCTTAAGATTTATGTATTCTTAGAAGAAACTAAGGTTAGTCCAGTATACAACCATGAAACGTACGCTAAAGAAGTAAAATACATATTACAGATAGCTAATAGTAGATCTAAATTATTATTAGAAAATGCAAACACTAGACAAAAAGTATATTATGACAGGTATCTAAATAGCATACAAATAAATATAGGCGATTTAGTATTAGTCAAAAATGATACAGGACATAAAAAATATTACCAATAAAAGGGACCATAAAAGGTAATAGGAGTAAAAGATAGGAATAACTACATATTAAAAGATAGATATAAAAGTACAACAGTAAACAACAATAGATTAAAATGGGGAGGAACGTTTGAGTCACTTCTTTGGACGCGTCTCTACTTTTAAACCCGTACTCAGTCAGTATATAAATTTTGAGCTTATGATTTCTGTACATCTACATCTAATATGTTTATTCTACATTTGAAATGTAGATTATACGTCCAAAATGTAGTTTGTATTGCCACCGGTGCTGTTGCCACCGACTGGTTCTCTTTCATTGTTGACCAGCAGCCTTGCTCATCCAAGAACTCGTGGTCCTCAACTTATAATGCTGCTCTCTCCATTGAGCCTACTCGTACAACCGTAGCTGTAGTTTGGCTTTTAAGCCGCTCGTCGGCAAGCTCAGACTAACTATTTGCAGCGAATTGCATGACAACCCAATAGTCGGTCTACTTGATCTGCCCCGCTATAATATATTGATCAGAATACCAAACCTTTTCCACAGCGCAATTTAAAGTTAACGCGCTTAAATAATCCGTTATGTGTATAGTTTAAATTCAAATATTATATCCCATTTACGATACTTATTTACTATACTTAATTATATTTTAACAGATTAAAACATTAAAATTGGCAATTTTGTACATAAACTACTTAGAGGATCTTCTGGATGGAGATCAGGATGAAAAAGGCGTGTTTCTTGCAGAGCTTAATCCGGCACATCACAAAACATGTTGCGATCAGAATAAGTGTCTAAAAAGTGATTTTCAAGTAAGATTAATTTATAACAATGATTATACCCAGTACTTAAAGAATACCGCGCTATACTAAATTTGAGTAAGATTGGTAGATAATTACACATGGTTTTGAATTTGATTTATATGTATATGTTTGTGCTTTATTCCCGTGCAGGGCGGATGGTGGGTGATTGTTCATAAGAGCCTGCTGTTAGGCACGATTTATGAGGGTTTAATTGTGGACCCGGAAACTAGACAGACCAACAGAAAAACACTTGTGCGTTCGATTGACTTCCAATAATAAATGAGACCGCATATTCTCCGCTCATAACAGAATATAAGACAACAAGATTTAACAATTCAAGAGCGTGATTTCATACATTTCTTTTTGTTAGAAGTTATAAATATAGGCAAGCAACTGATTTGCCTTAACATTGGCCGCGTTGACAGCCTATAGGTTTTAATCTATTGGATTAGGCGCCAAGCGGTGGATCGGTCGCTTGTTGGCCCCCGCCTTAGTCCTGATCACGGCCACGCCTACCTTCTCGTCAGCTCCTGGGATTACCTTCTCCACTATACCTGTGAGTTAGGAATTGGATCGATGCAAATAGCTAAGATAGAGAGTAACAAATCTACAATTCTTTGTCATCAACACTGGAAATTTTGCATTATGGGCTAGAGGAGCAATTAATAGTCGATCGCCTACTCGAACCAACGAAAACAAACATCAGCCCACTTGTTCTCCCAAAGTGAAGGAAGTTAAGTTTTGAGGTGATGCCTGCAACTTGAATAACCTTTTTATTTGTTCAATTTCCTTCGAAAATGCGTCTCTTTAGACAGCTTCCACTGCTGTTAGAAACGCTGCGACAAGCTCGTCTGATGACGGACACGTAGTAGTCCATTTTACTCCTTTTTATTAGGGTGAGGATGTGTTGGATTGTGTTCGACATCGACCGCGATAAACGCAGTGATACCTTCTTCGTCTCTTATGAAGTATCCGCTTCTGTCAAACGTAAATGAAGATTTTGAGGCCAATATATGGATTCTTGCTGCAAGAATGACGGACCATTGAACCAAAATAGTGAATCTAAGTCTGCTACTGATGATCCCCGAGATACTAGATCTGCAGGACTTTCTTTGGTGGGCACATGTTTTCATGAGACTGTCGAAGTGATGTCCTGTAACTTTGCAACCGACTTGAAACAAAGGTCATTAGCTGGGAGGGCTGAGCTTGCAGCCAATGTAGAACCACTTCTACGGGACAATTAATAATAGATAAAACTTCCCTCCACATCTTTGCCAAAAGATAAGCGGCACATAGCTCTAACCTTGGGACTGTTTTTGTCTTTAAGGGTGCCACCCTTAAATTTGCCGTTAATAAGATGACACTGAAACAATGACTAATGTTGAGCTCGTTACAGTATACGCCACCACCCACACGGCCGTCTAACTTTGAGCCATCAGTGTATATGTGGATCGCATTTTCGGGTCCAGGTTCAGTCCTCCCTTAGTAGGATTGATACCTGGAAGGCCGTCGAGAGGTGATCACTCGGTATAGAGTAATCTGTCCCCTCCGATAGTTGCGGGAGTCTCGTCAAGATTCCCGAGTGTCCAAACGTGAATGCTTTCCAGAGTTTGGATTCTCTCATTCTGAGAGCGGAAAGAGTTGCCACCCCTTTCCCGATGAGTTCTACAGGGAGAAGGTACAGCATGGTATCGAGGGCTTCGCTTGGGGTTGTGCGTAGTCCGCCCGTTATGCATAGCTCTGCCATGCGTTTGACACGGCTGAGTTTGCTAAGGATTTTTCTGCCATTCCCCATTTGAGTCCGATGGTTTTTCTGCAGGTATAGAGAGCCACAGTGGCTTTCTTTACCCTATCCTCTATGCTCAGTTTCCAATCGAGCTTCCTATCGAGGATCAGACCAAGATACTTGGCATTATTGCTAAAAACTAGCGCTTCCCCATAGAGTTTTGGGGGAATCAGAGTCGGAATCTTGTACTTCCTGGTGAAAAGTACTGTGTTCCGTTTGGTACGGATTAACACCTAGCCCGCATTTTTCTGCCCATTGGGACAGTTTTATGAGAGTGCTTGTCATGCACTCGCATAGCGTCTATGGAAATTTCCCAGAGAATGCTATGGCAACATCATCAGCGTACGCCACCACGTGACATCCACCCCCCTCTATCTCTCGCAGCAGTTCATTTACTGCTACGTTCCATAGGAGGGGCGAGAGGACTCCGCCCTGCGGCGTACCTATTCTGACAAACATGGTGGAAGTTGACGTCCCCAGTGAGGCCTCAACGGTCCTGCATCGAAGCTTCTGATCGATGAGACTCACCGTCCGGGAATCAGTCCCCAGGTCCGTCAGTGCACCCGTGATGGCGGTTGGGATTATGTTGTTAAAAGCGCCTTCTATGTCAAGAAAGGCCACAAGTGTGTACTCCTTACAGTTAAGGGACGTTTCAATGATCGATATGATCGCGTGTAGGGCCGTTTCGGTGGATCTTCTTTTCCGATAGGCGTGCTGAGAATCAGAGATTAGATTGGGCGGAATACTCGCCCTGAGATGCAACCCTAAAAGCCGTTCCATCGTCTTTAAAAGAAAGGACGAAAGACTTATTGGTCTGAAATCTTTGCGGGCAGTGTGCGAGGGTTTACCGGCCTTAGGTATAAAAACGACTTTGGTCTGAAGCCATGTGTCTGGGATTTGTCCGTGAGAGAAGACTCCCTCGTAAATCTGTTTGTGCCGGCGTGAATCAGTTGGGCTGGGATGATGCCATCTGTTCCCGCAGACTTGTATGGCTTACAGCTTTTAATTGCCCAGATATGTTCTCCTGACTTATCATGCTTAGAATGGATCTTGAGGCAACAGAAGGAGGTGTGCTGTAGTTTGGTCTGTTTACAACGCAGCCTGGGAAGTGTGTGTTGAGGAGAAGGTTAAGCGATTCATTGCTGGACGTCGTCCATGACTGATCAGCTTTCTTCAGGTACCCCAAGGTTGGGGTCGACTTCGATAGTATTTTGCGCAAGCGTGAAGCTTCGGAGTTACTTTCGATTTCACTGCAGAACTTACGCCATGAGGCGCGTTTGGCTTTCCTAAGTTCCTTGTTATAGGTTGACAGACTGACTTTGTACTCGTACCAGTTCTGCTCAACATTTAGAGCTTTGGCTCTGTGGAAGAGTCTCCGGGAGGCTTTCCGGAGTTCCCCAGTTTCGGAGTCCACCATTCTGGCTTCTTTCGGCCCTTCGATTTAGTAGGGGGACAGGATTTGTCGAGAACCGCATTGCAGGCGTCGGTAAATGTTTTCACCAGATTGGTCGTGGTCTCCCGTAAGATATCTCTTCCGGACGGGGACTCAGGGAGAATACGGCCCATGTGGTCTGAGTAACGAGTCCAGTGTGTTCGCCTGAGGTTCCGGAATTGGACTGGGCTCGGTATGGAGAATGAGAAAACAGTTTCCACGTGCCTGTAGTCCGAGAAGGACTACAACTTCAAGGATCCTCCAGGATACTATGTTATTCTGTATCGTGTGAGAGGCAAGTGTGAGGTCTAGGACCTCCTCGCGATTTTTAATAATAAAGGTGGGATCGTTCCCCCGGTTTACTATGACCATCTGCGTGGTCAGTATATTCATTGGTGTTCATTGTTTATTGGTGTCAGTACTTCCCCACTGACTGTGGTGTGCGCTGGCGTCGCATCCCACAATTAGGCCGATGTCCTTGGCCTCGCAGTCTGCGATGAGAGACCTTAGGGGCGCCTGTGGAGGAGGGTCAGGTTGGTCGTGACCCATGTATGTGGAGCACATCCTCAGTGAGCTCTCCTGGCCTTCGAGGCTCACCGCTGTGTGGTCTTCGTTGCTGAAATTTGGGAGCAAAAATAAGTGTAACTTTCTTTCTGCAAGTATGCAGGTACGGGTTTTACCAGTGGTGTCAGCTACGTATAGCTTATAGTCTTGAGTCCTAGATCAGGAGACCCTGTTCTAGGATCCAGGGCTCTTGAATGAGGACAAAGTCGGCTCCATCCTTGGCTAGGTGGAGCAGTAGGGCAGCGCATGCTGCCTTACAATGATGGAGGTTTATCTGCAGGAGTGTCAGGGAAATTCCCGAGATTCAGCTCCACCATTGTGTTGTCGGCATCGTTCTCGGTGGATCCATTGTCCTCTCCTACATCGATGCATCCGAGAGCCCTGGCTAGGTCGCTTGCATCCGACTCGTAGCGGTCCAAGATGTCGTCCGATATCTCGGACGCTAAGTCCCACGCCGCGGTTTGGCTTTCCGCTTCCGAGACCTCTGGCTGCTCGATATCTGGCTGGATCTGTGCTTGCATGCCCTTAGAGTCGGATTTGTAGGCGGCTATGGTCACCTTCCAGTAGCCACAGTCCACTACTCTGTCCGACTTCTTCAGAAGTACGAGAGACTCTTCATTGAGGACGAGGATTATCTGGCGCCTCTGTCCAGTTACCTCATCCACCTTAGCCATCTTCCAATCGGCTGTAGAAAGGTGGGTGTTGTAGACCTGCAGCACCTTTATGATCTTCTCCGGCTCTGCAGTCTTCACCGAGAACCACGCTCTGGCCCCCGGTCTGCTGGGGATGTCTTCCCATTTGACGGCCTCCAATTTGGCCCCTGGGTGAGCCTCTTTGAGCGCCACCACTGCCTTCGTGTAAAGGGCCGCCGAGCGAGCATCTTGGCAGGCGATGGCTTTCACCGTGCTTTGGTGCCAGCCGGCGTCCTCGAATTTAGGCAGTGGCGCGCTATTCTCCGCGAGCTCCTCCAGAAATCTGTCCTGGAGCTCTGCATCGACCAGATGCCATTTGTCCCGAGGGACATTAACGTCCTTGCCGGTTTTGTCGGGTTGGTTTTCGCCGGGTTGGTTTTCGCCCGCTTGGCTTGCTGGGCTTGGCCTGGCTGTATAGCGGGACCCTCCGCTGAGCGTTGCCACTTGGTCGGGGCCTTGGCTGTACCCTTTCCGGCTTTGGCTGGCTGAAAATCCAGGATTATCGAGCTGGCCCATAGCCTCTGCTCCAACCACTTTTCCGACGACTTGAAATCCGGGTCGTCGTTGGACAGGATGAAAGGAGCGCTCCTCCTGTCTTGGTAGGACGGCTTCTTCCCCTGTGGTGCA